ACTATAGTATGGTGACAATACTATAAAGTCGGGGTGCCAACTTCACTCACGTTTCTAAGCACTTGTGTTTTCTGAAATTATGATTATCTTGCGTTAAATGGATCACCCCGTATATACGATATGCGGGACGTTATACTTCGGCCCCCGCCGAACACTCGTGAGTCGGTTTGATAATAGTAATTTTTGTTTTTTTTTTATTAATTAACCCACAGCAACTTAGGCCATTGGGTGGATTTTTTACTGTGGGGGGGGGGGTAATGTAGGTAAACACACGTGTTTGATAGTTTGGAAGATTTTTGAGTGGGCACCCGTAGGTATCTGCCATGCCCGGGTGGGGGATGGCGGCACTTGTTCTCCAGACACCGTGACTTGCCAGAAGAAAAAGGCCGAGGTATCGAACCGGCGTCGGCTGCTTCGCAATCGACACCTTAGTCCGCTCGGCCACTCCGTCTCCCAATAATAAATTGCCCAACCGGGTAGTTAGTTATATAATAATATTATAATTTCCTCTATCTCGGTCTGGCGCCGCCCGTCTTGTAATAATTGTTTGATTATAGTAAACGAAACTCGGCTTCCTCGGATTCAACACGATGATATTGTGTTTACATCTATATTTTATCGTCAGCGTATAATATATATTATGTTCTACAACCCTTTGACAGTCATCTGTTGCGATATTCGCCAGCTAATAATATATATTATGTTCTACAACCCTTTGACAGTCATCTGTTGCGATATTAACCAGCTAATAATATTATTATGACAAAGGGTTGGTTATTGTTACATGTTGTAGTTGTACACGTGCGCCAGTGTTCAATACCGACAATAAACAAAACAGAAAAAAATCATCAGTTTGTGCTACAGGTTTAGAATATATATGCGCCAGAAAGCATCATGTCAATCGCAGGCTTAAATTCCACGACTGTTGATTTTTGTTTTGTATACTTTGCTATCGATTTTCTGCAGTAAGACGTGTTGATTTCACGTAGACGTGGCGTCATTCCATTGTTGATTTGTATCACTCGAGATGAATTTTTTTCTCCCAATATTTAAGTTAATATATTACCATTATGTTGTATACCTAATACATTATTAATTCCTTTTTAAATTAGTTTATGTGAGTTGTTTGGAGTAGTTTTTAGTTTATAGGAACAAGAAACTTGCACGATATGATCTAATGAAATAACTCTGTATACGTCCTAAAATAATTAAGAACACTAATATTAAATTTCGCTAATTAAACATGATTATTTTATGATACTTTGTTCAGTTCATGTAAGATTGCAACAAAGTATTTTAAAAAGCTCTTGGTGAATACAATTTTAATTTTTAGCACGATGAAAGTCAATTTAGAGCAAGTTGAATTAATTTTTATATTGTAATAAAGTGTAATAATTTACTTATAACATTTTGAGAATGTATATTTTCGTTTAATATTATTATGTATTATAATAATATTATACACGATTAGTAAATCATTAACTATGATAAAAGACGTGTCTATTTTTACTATAGTAAAATCAAATATAAATAGTCGCTGTATAGAAACCAATGCCATACAATTATGCTGCACAATAAATGTAGATGTCTTAAAATTCGATTTGACAGCTCACTAATTCCTACGGGCAAATAACTGCAGTATGCAAATGTAAATGACCAGTAAAATAGTAAAAGTATCCAATGCTCGTAAATCTTATTTGAATAACGCTGTCAAATTAGATATCCCGACACGCGTATCGCTGAACGTAAGTTTGTTAGAACGCTATTATTCATACACTTTGTTGGGTGTAATTGCATTATATATATATGTAGGTAAATTGTTTTTTTCTTCTTTTTCTTCTCCTACATTAGCCCATTAAGACCCATAAACTAGAATTGATGATTGTTGAAAGTTATTTTGGAAACTAATTTAAATAAATTACACTACTGGTGTTTGTATACGCTCTACGCACCTCGCACCAATTTGTCAACCAACACTTTTGCAACAATAATCATAACAATAATATGTAGGTACGAGGTACCTTTATAATATTTATTTATTTCACCTAGGATGCTCACCTCCTTTTTCTTCAATACTGCAGTTATTAAAAATCTGAATGTTGCAATTTTTAAATAAACTTAAAGAACATATGTTTTAAAATATTGATACCTTTTTTACCTATTACCTGAAGAGTGTCCTATGATGGAGATACAAAGTTCTGTTTTTCAAAATATGATAACCATTTTTCTGAATCATAATTCAAATGAGGTAGGTATTGAGTTATTTAACTTTGTGTACTAAGGATAATAGGTCCATGATAATGGGTTTGGAAAATTTGGAAGCCATGGTGATTTGAAAGTTTGACTTATAAATATTAATTTATCAAGATTTATTTATAACAAGAAAAATGGTCCAAGTGAATGAACCCAAGATCCGATATTACATCAATTTAAAACTTTTGTAAAGCTATTTTTAAGGACTATATTATTATTCTTAATATAAATATTTTAATAACTGAAAAAAAAATTCCAAAGTTTGAATTGAGAATATCAATATATTCAAAAAAAATTATTTACTACAAATTTACAGTTAAACAGGGGGGGGGGAGGTTTCATTTGAAAAACAGAAGTTTTTATCGCAACAGGTCATTCCTTAAGTAAGGGGTACAACAAATCTTAATAATTTGAAAATATAGATTCTGTATAGGTATGTTGTTGAATTGTTTATTATCTTCTTCTACATTAGCCCATTAGACCGATAAACTGGAATTATTATTGATGATCGCTGAAAGTTATTTTGGGAACTAATTTAAATAAATTACACTGCTAGGGTTTGCAAGCACCTCACACCAATTTGTCAACGAACGCTATCGCAACAATAATAATAACAATAATATTATATTATATACATGTATATATTATATAATATAATATGCCCTACTGACAATAATAGCAGTTAAATTACCTACGATATTTCGCGTTGTACGAATAAAATTATCATTTGTATGTATATTCTCTGATTTTGTTTGCTTAACACAGCGCTATAATATACCACGCACATTTACAATTTGTTTTTATAGACTTGCTCAATATTTCATACTCTCGGGTTTTATTTTTTTAAATATGAAAACGGGTTTTCACTATAAAACCAGAAAAGAAACGTTATTCTCGAGATTCGCCGTATCTTTTCATTTCGTCGGCTAAATTATCCATGTACCGGCGGCGCATCATTACGAGCTGCGTGGCGGCTGCAGTACCGCACACGATGGCTATTTACGCGGTATAGGCAGGAAGTGCGTGGAAAACCGTTTAGCAACAAACAACCATCGGCACCGCAGCGAATTTTGTGCAAATTAACCGCAAAAACGGATCCGTTATCAACTCACGTTTGTATTATTATGTATTTTTTCATCTTCATTTTTACACCATCCCTCTTCGACACGGATGAGTATTATAGGTACTGCCACGCCATGTTTCATTTTCTCGTCCGGCCAAGTCTTATGATGTACAACGGAGAAAACTATTTAACACTACGCGAGCAGAATACGATGATGATAATAATAATAATAATAATATTACAACGGTTTAGTATTTTTATATATATTATACAGGGCGGTTCACTGAGTAAGCCCTTTTTCTTCTTCAACAATACAGTTGTTCGAAATCTGATTTTTTGGAACTTACAAATATACTTTAAGACTGTGCATTTTAAAATTGTTGAGCGTTTTCGTACTATTTAAGGATTGTCATGTGAAGATACAAATTACAAACTTCTGTTTATCAAATGAGAACCTTCCACAGTACAATAAATCCAAAATAATTTGAAAATATGGTATTTAAGGCCTTAGTCGATGCTTAAGAATAAGTATTGCTTAAGCCATACTTATGACTCAAATGAGATCCATAAACGAGACTTTGGTGTAAGAAAAGAAAAAGTATTACTTACATAAATTTAAGGTTGATCGAGACCTACCTTAAACATTGCTTTCAGTTATTACCACAATTTTTTTATTTCGTAAATTGTTAAAATTAGCTTGAGGAATACTTATTTTTAAGAATCGACTATGAATACGTTAATAATTGTATTTAAAAAAATCTAAAAATCAAAATCTGAATAAATGTATTATTACATGAAAAAATGGGGGTGAGCATGCATGGTGAATCACTCTGTATATTATATTCTATGACTTTCGGAGGAAACGTGGTAAGCACTAGGCAGACATAATAAACTTGAAAAGGAGAGCGAAAAAACATACTAGGAATAGTGTGCGAGATAAAAAAACTCGATGGATTTTTCTTTCTGTAGTCGCCATCATAACGCATATATATATATAAGCTCAAAACAAGGAGCCGTAATTAAGGATAGCATATAATTTCTGGGGAAAGGAAAAAACAACAAAACACAGCTAAAAGTTGTATCCTCTCTCCGTCTAGAAATAATAATTGTACGTTTTTAATGGTGTTATTTGGATGCTGTGCCACGTCTAAATAGTCCCTGCCCGTATAATTGAGCAACCGTGCAAAAAATGCCAACTAAGAAATTACTCCAAAGTCACGTGGTTATTCTATTGGTTGAAAAATACCGACTATTGTGTCTAACAAAAAGCACGCTGCTTAAAATATAAATATAATTTTTCTTTTCTTTCGTGAATAGGTATATATATTATTTTAAATAATTAAAAACTCAATTAAGTAAAGATCTATATCATTTTATTTTACATTGGCCTAATTTTTTTGTTATCAATATAATATAGATAGGTTGAATACAATTCTTGCTATTAAATTAAATTAATTTAAATTAACAACAGCTCTATGACAACAGTTAAAATATAGTTACGTAGTGACTATAGCTAGACACTCTAAAGGGTACCTACTACCTATTTAGTAGTTAATAATAATAACAATGAATAATCGATTATCGCATGCTAGATTGCATTATCACGTAGTTTAATATAAAATTAGCTCATTACAGTGTGTACACGGTCGAATCAAATGCACCATGTGCAATATACGAGAACATTTTACTCTCGGGAACGATTGATATTTTGTTCACGGAATTTACCGGAGTTCATTATCCCGACAAAGCCTGTTAAGAACGGTTCGGGCATGTTGGATGGCAAACCACGGCGCCCTTGGGATGTGTGCAAATGGCACATTTGTCGGTGAAAAATGTACAATGAGCGGTTATCGATACGACCACGACGGACCCGAGGCTGAAGGTGTATACTATCACCGTGCTGCACGTTAATCTGTCCATTAGTTGGATTTAATGGCTTAATTGGCTGCATAAGGTCTAGGCGTAGTCCCTGCGAGAATGGCATTTTTTAACTTGACATGTTGGGCGAAGTTCCCGTTATACAAAAAAAACCATTAGGTATTGTTTATTTGTTCTTTTGTTAAACCTTTAAACTCGACATATTTATTACAAGCTTCTGCAGAACAAAAAATTATTATTATTTCATACGCTAAAAAGTAATTTAATAACAACAACAACTACAACAGCAGCAAAAAAACAAACAAGGAAACTTGTATATTGTTCTTAAACGTGGGAATTTCGTGTGAGTTTTATTTTTTTTAATTATAATTTTGATTTTTTTTTAAAACAAAAAACCATATAAATATTTACTTCGGTACGAAATTATTTACTATAAGGTTTTATTCATATTTTATTGTATTGTTGGAAAACTAAAAACATACAAACGATATTATGTGAGTTCAATAATTATTCTATAGTATTGACTTAGGATTTAATAAAACCGTTATTTACACAAAATTGGCATATATGTATTTAACATTATTTGTATCTCCAAATACCTACCGACTAACATAATATTTCTGTCGATAGATTTTCAAAAAGTTAAACAATTCACTAAGATATTATTATAATAGTACTTATATAACTTTCTATCATCCATTCCATTGAAATATTTTATTTTATCTGAACTTTTGGATTCTATTTATACGAGAGTTTATTATTTTTTAATCGTATAATTCTATATCATATAGTTTGGTTAAAAAATAAATATGAGTATGGTACTTATTATTGTTACAATGTTCCAGCATTAATAAATTGAGTACTCGATAAATATTTGAAAATAATTACCTACTTATTTTACTGTTTTAGTTTGTTGTGCTGCAAAATATTATCTCATAATATTAAGATGAACATTTTCATGAAACTAAGATAAAATAATTTACATTTTGTAAAACAGTAAAACTAATTAATAAATAATATTATGTCGGTATCGTGTAAAGACATAATACTTACAACGTTATATTAAACACGTTTTACTTTTGTATAATGTAGTACAAGAACTTACTAAGTGTTACGTTCTTCTTAAAGAGGAGAACTTAAAAACGTGTACTTACTCTGGTCCCTAGCAATGTTATTAGTTTCAGGGTGGTTCAAGTGTTTAATCATTACTTTTGATGTTGAATGAAACAAAAAAAAATTGTGGAAAATGAAAAAATACAGGTATACTATTTATTCATGCTTTGTCAATTTTTAAATATACAATAAACACATAAATGAAGGCGTCAGAATAGTATTACCATCCGTCGAAACTTCGACGTAGGTATTATACGGCGTAAAATGAAAAAAACTGCGAGAAAAATGAATAATGGGCCTCTTCGGGTCTGTTGGACTTTCTTGTTTTCGCAATTGACATTCAACGCAGCGCGACACCCTTTCCGATCCACCAATGTAATCCAATTCCCAGCGCTCAACAACCCCTGTTCATCATCCAGACCACCTCCCCGCCCCCGCAGTCTCGCCGCTGGGAAATGTCGTAGGCCGAGAAAACAATTTGTTTTCGCTTCGGCCCCGTCACAGCAGAGAGCATAGGAAAAAATACGCAAAAATACCGTCACCGTATATAAACTCTCTCGTAAGAATTCGGGTTTAATGTACCCCGCCACCGTAATATTATGTCTACAAAAATAAGCAGATAAATACATTTCAGTCGTGCTTATATACCACTATATACGCACTATAGTAATATTTATTTATTTAAGTGTATTATACAAAAGTAAATTCGCTTTATATAAAATATTATTATTTATTACATACACGTGTACCTAGGTGCTATATTTTATTATTATTATTAATATGAAAGCAATTTCTGTAGCGCGTCGACAAATTCAATTCACCCCGTTCGGTCGGAAACGCGCACTAACGCTGTCTGGGCGACGTAATATATCTCCGGGCTATATGTGGGTGGTGTGACGCGAAGGGCGTGTGCGTATAATATATTATATGTATATATATTATTATATCCGCACGAATTAGGAGAAAATTGGTCACAATCGCATTGCGTGCCCGGACGTGTCTGCTGTATGAGGACGGGATGGGGTAGCTATATGGACGGATACTGTGCAGGTGAAATACATCGTGTTTTGTGTGTACAAGTACTTAAATTTCGGTGTAGAAGTCGCATCTCACGGACAACAATATATTTCATTACGTTTGCTCTAAAAAGTTAATAAACACGCGAAAACCAAATATTTACACATCCTATCTTCGTCGATGTATTGCGCACATCGTAACGGCCGGTGATCTATTTAACGCAAGACACTCATTATTTGAAAAACTATTAATTTTTTGGGCATTTTGTGAAGTCATTAAAAAAAATAATTTCTAAAATATAGGTATATATTTTTTAAAATTTTTATAGTTATCATTTTTACTTTTTTAATGAAAACGTGCATTTTTAATTTCTTATTCCAAAGTAGAATATTGTTTCGAGTATATCGATGCATCGATGCATAAAAATCGAATTTTGGGACAAGTACCAAGTTTATGAGAAGAATTTAAAGCAGAGTGGAGTGGTATATAAGTTGCAACTAATAATTTATTAAAAAAATATTTGTAGAGATGTTTTTATTTTGAATATTAATCCTCTGAATAATATTCTGCTTAGGAATATGAAGTTAAAAATGTGTGTTGTTGTTCAAAAGTGAAAAAACTTAAAAAATTATAATGATAAAGAATAATTTTTTCCAAAACCGTTGTTTTTACGACTTAAAATGTTGCAAATGAAATATTTTCAAAAACATAAGTGATTTCTGTAATAATGAGTGTTTTACAATTAAATGTATCATTCCGTTTATAATATTACCATATAAGAGTATAAGACATTAGTGTACATCTTATTACAATAGTATACTTATACAATAGAAATCGATGGATAGTTGATACATTAATAAATTGTTTAGAACATGTTACCAATGACTATAAATATATAGTAGTATTTATGAATCAATGAATAATATAAAATATCATATTGTTCATACAACGTTTTGAAGTATTCATAGATAATTTATGAATTGTTCTGGAGGCTTGTATATTATGAGGGTTGAGAAATAAAGAAGGCACAAAATATTTCACATAGGACGTGTATGTATAATGTACTAATGTCTATTCTTGTATTATTTTAAAATATGTGTAACAACTAACAGGTACCTATTGTTAATGCTAACAATAAATGATAAGTGTATTACTTGGTTTTTTTTAGTAAGGACGAGCATTATTGTGGTGAATTTTTTTACATTATTTATTGTATTTTCACCAGTATAATTTCAAAAACAATGAGAGGAAGGAATGTCGTAAATCCATTTGATATAATTTATACTTGAATAGCAATACTCAGTGCTCCAAACATTCATCTGTGTACAGTAGTATTAAGTGTTTATGGTTTTTGGAAGCTCAAGTAGGATTTAAGATGGAAATAAAAAGAATATGGATGGTTAGTTTTGACGGGTAGCAGCGTATACATAAGACATTGCTATAATTTATGCGCTTAATAGTATTCAAAGATAATTTTCATAAGTTAATTGATATTTTATTATTATTAACATTTCAATGTAATTATACAATTCATTATTATATAAATATCTATTATATTATAGTACATTAATCCACATCATACATATGGGTAACATGTTATATAGTACCGTAGTTTTTAATATATTAGTAGGTACATTAAAATAATTATAATAAATGTGCATATTTATATAATTTATCTTTTGAATTATTTTAATGTCATTGAGTATTATAATTTTATTTTTTTCTAAACAAACGTCATTCTACTCATCAAGAAATTAATATCTAAAATATGTATACCATATAAATCAATCGTGGATAATATTTTAGGATGAAGTGTCCTCCCTGAGGATATATTATTGATATATTATAATTTATGATAATATGTATATTGTAAAAATGACATCATCACTGCAGTAAATACTTATAAGCTGATCTGAAAAATTGCTAAGTAATATAATATATGAGGTATAGACTATAGAGTTATAGCCTATAGGTTGGTGGTAGCTGGTATCGACTGCGGTCTACGGGATGCATGTACGTGAAATACAATTCTGGTTTTTCATTTTAATTGAGTTAAACATTCACAATAATGTATTATACGACTACGTGATGTATTATTATATTTAATTCAGCGTGGCGTGGTATATCAAAACACCACTGTAAGGCATTAAACGATGCCCACGTACGTGGTAATATTTACGTTTTGATATCTCGTATACTTACTTATGTAGGCGGGCGGACGAGCTGTTGGAATGTAGAAGCTCCTTATAGCCACCTTCAGAAATTCGTATTTCCATTTTGCTAATCCCAACAATAATTTGAGTTTCGTATAATCGTATGCGTTCGTTAAAATATTATTCCATATATGGTTTACTCGAATTCCATCATGTCGACGCTTATAGGTAATAATAATAATAATAATAATAATAATATTAATATTATAATATAGATTTTCATCATAACATCATATAGGTATAAAATACTATGTATGTGTGTATATAGTATACATATAACGCGCGTTATATCGTTTAAACTATAATACTTCATAATAACACCGTGTAATGCAGTTAGACGCCTATAATTAACCCGTGTCATATACTCATATATTATAATATCTACCTATAATTATTGTTGGTGTAGAAAAAAAAACTGACATCATTAATTATTCACGATGACTGGACCAATATTATTATATTATGTGTAACCCTCTATACGATTTTATGAAACGAAATGAGTTCTCGCTGTACCTAAAATTATAAAAATTCGATAGCCGAAAACAAACACGTCCGATGATGCACAGCCATGGTAATAATAATATTCACGTAAATACTTCAGTGCGTGTATTAGTGACATATTTTTTTATTCGTCCGTTTTATCGTCATGAAATTGTTTAAATTGTTCTAAATATCGAAGTTATTTAGTGGTTGCGGTGTTCGTCTACTATTTTATTTTTAATTTTAAATTATATTTTAGCGTAAATTTCGAACGGTCATCGTC